AATACACAGCATTATAAATCTTAAAGGCTAATTTTATTTAAAATATGGCCACTTTAATGTAGAACAATTCTAAAGTATGTCATATCTAAACATAAATATTTTGTAAATATTTAAATTGAAACATCTCTTAAATCTTTTAGCTTTCATGCATAGACAATATCAAACATATATATAGCTCTTGAAGTTGTCAGCTTTTAACTTGTCTCTTTCTTGTTTCTTGTTTCTTGTAATAGTTGATTCTGAACACCTTTAATACCAAACACCTAGCCTGCCCGAATACATTTTTTTCAATCTATCTCTACTTTAAACTCCCCCTCCCCTGTAATCACTGAAGTGTTTTTCGTCAATTTATTTTCTCATTTCTCCGTCCTACTTATTTCTCCGTTCTACTTTTTCTCCGTCCTACTTATTTCTCCGTTCTACTTTTTCTGTCCTACTTATTTCTCCGTCCTACTTTTTCTCCATCCTACTTTTTCTCCGTCCTACTTTTTCTCCGTCCTACTTATTTCTCCGTCCTACTTTTTCTCCGTCCTACTTATTTCTCCGTTCTGCTTTTTCTCCGTCCTACTTATTTCTCCGTCCTACTTTTTCTCAATCCTACTTATTTCTCCGTTCTGCTTTTTCTCTGTCCTACTTATTTCTCCGTTCTACTTTTTCTCCGTCCTACTAATTACTCCGTCCTACTTATTTCTCCGTTCTACTTTTTCTCCGTCCTACTTATTTCTCCGTTCAACTTTTTCTCCATCCTACTTATTTCTCCGTTCAACTTATCAATAATTTATCTTTCTTATTTCTTCGTCATACTTGTAAATAATCCATCCTTTCTCATTTGTCCGTCCTTCCTATCAATAATTTATCTTACTTATTTCTCTGTCTTACTTATCATTAGTCGATCTTTCACACTTTACTACATTTGTAAATATTACACTTTTTTACTTCTCTTTTCTACTTCTCTTTTCAACTTACAAATTTTATTCCTACGTCCTACTAACTAGTAATCCATTTATACATTTTTACTTTTCCGTCCTACTCAGTTTTATATACTTATCCACCTTTATCTGTCCCACCTTGATACATGAATAGTTTGGGTCCCAATGTTTATTCAAGGGTAGAGTTCTAAGGAACCTAAGACTATGTTGCTTCAAGGACGAGAAGGAATTGAAAAAATTAATGTACGGTTGGATTCCGTCGTAATATGCTTTGACCAGTCATTCCGCCATCCTAGATTAATTATACTCTCCGTCCTGCAGGGTTTCAAATCTGTTTCATCCTGCTCATTTGTTTCACTTTAGGCATGATAAGTCAGCATGGTTTAAACTATCTTTCCTGTTTAAATCATATTCATTCTATTCTTTTATCTTTCGTTCATTCTTGTTCTTTCGTTAGATTATTGTTATTTTATCCCATATTCTTGTCCTTTAATCTTCTTCTTTTCCTTTCATCCCCGTCTTGTCCTTTTAATCCATTCTTGTCCATCAATTCTAAATTCTTGTCCTTTTTATATGATTTTATGTGTTTACGCGATTCTTGTCCTTTCATTTAATTCTTGTCCTTAATTCCCGTACCTGTCAATACTTCCCATTCTTGATCTTTCATCATTTCTTCCTATTCTTGTCCTTTAATCTACTTCTTTTCCTTTCATCCAATTAATCCCAATCCTCTTATACAGTTCTTGGCAATTTATCCAATTCTTATCCTTACAAATCATTCTTAACCTTTCATTTCGTTATTGTTAATCTAAATAATTCTTGTCCTTTAATGTAATTCTTGTCCATCAATCCCACCTTCTTTTCCTTTCATTTCATTGTTGTTCTTCTTTCATCCCATTCATCATTCTTGTCCTTTTATTCGTCTTCTCTTTCCTCTTTCATAAAAAACCCGTGATTAAGCAAATATTTACCTTTCATCTTAAATCTTGTTTTGACCTTATATAATATTACGAATGAATAAATGAAACAGTTTTTGTAAAATTCTTAATTTTTCTTTCTCTCCTCATTTGTCAATAAAAGGTGTGTGACTGCTCTGGGCTGCTCTGTAATATCACGTTTAAACCATTCTACCATCATTTTCTAGTCGTATACACTCATCATTGACAAGGATCCTGTCTACACAAAATCAACCCGGAATCTTACAATTTTACAACCCTGTGTTACCCCCGTTACAAGGGTTGGCTTTAAGTTATATAATCTTGGGTTGTAATTGGGGTGTCGATAAAACGTGGAGGACTTTTTTAAACTTATTTAATTCTTAGAAATTGTGGATTGTTCAGAGGGTCCCAATAAACAAGTATTTTAAACACGATGTAAAACTTTTATAAGTCCCTGAAAGTGTCTTGATATTATGAATAGAATGTTACTGACTAAAAGTCGGCTACACTTTTGTTAAATCAATACAAAAATTTAAAGAAGCTGATTTAAACTTTATAATATCAACTAAATTTTAAATAATTTTTATTGTAACTGCCTGCTAATGATATACATGTTAATATACTTTAACTAATATTTCTATAATAATTGTGAATTAACCAGAAAATTATAGTAAGATATATAATTATTTTTGTATGCATGAGAAGATTGGAATTCTCTAATTTTCCTTATTTTAGAATGGAACCAGACTGAAATATTTACAGAAGTAAAGGTGAGATTTGTTTACTATCAATAAAACATATTTTATTTTACCAATATGGAATTTAGTCTTTGCAATAAATCTCATCCGCTTCTAGAATATCCTGTCTAAACCTCTTTTTCCTTTTCTGTCCTCTACTGTCCTGGACTGTTATCCTGTCCAGTCCAATCCTGTCCAATCCAATCCTGTCCTGTCCAATCCTGTCCTGTCCAATCCGGTCCTTTCCAATCCTGTTCTGTCCAATCCTGTCCTGTCTAATCCTGTCCTTTCCAATCCTGTCCTGTCCAATCCTGTCCTGTCCAATCCTGTCCTGTCCAATCCTTGCTTGCTGGACTAGTTTTTACGTTCGTTTAAACTTTATTTTAATCTTCTCATCTAATCTAATCTTTTCCTGCGTAGTTTAGACCCCTCCCCCCCTTTCTTTAAGATATTACAAAAACAAGTTTTTCAATTAAGGTTTTTGAACCAAATAACGTTAAAGCATTGTTACTTTTCTGCAGAGAGAATTCTGTTTAGTGAAGAAAAACATCGTTGTGATTCTGTGATCATGGAATTAATAATGAATACAGTTTCAAGGTTTTTGGTGTTAATGGAATAATGGAATAATTAAACAATAAGAAACCCAACTTCCATGAATATTTGCTTAGTCGTAAATAAACCTTTTTAAGGAAATGCATGGAGCCAAATTTAATTCCGTAAAATCTCATTTTCAACAAAATTTTCATCATTGGTTAAAACTTATTGGTTAAAAATAGAAATTACTTTATTGATTTGAAAAATAAAATTTTTCTAGAAAACACATTTTCAACTAATTTTCTCGCATGCAATGTTTCATCTGAAATGAAACACTTGTTATGAACCCAGCTCACTAGCTCTCTAAGCTCAGTAATATCAGCCCACTACCCTAGCTAAGTAATATTAGCTCACTACCCTAGCTCAGTAATATCAGCTCACTACCCTAGCTCAGTAATATCAGCTCACTACCCTAGCTCAGTAATATCAACTAACTAATCTCAGTAATATCAGCTAACTACTCTAGCTCAGTAATATCAGCAAACTACCCTAGCTCAGTAATATCAGCTCACTAAGCTCAGTAATATCAGCTCGCTACCCTAGCTCAGTAATATCAACTCACTAAGCTCAGTAATATCAGCTCACTACTCTAGCTAAGTAATATCAGATCACTACCCTAGCTCAGTAATATCAGCTCACTACCCTAGGTCAGTAATATCAGCTCACTACCCTAGCTCAGTAATATCAGCTCACTAAGCTCAGTAATATCAGCTCGCTACCCTAGCTCAGTAATATCAGCTCACTAAGCTCAGTAATATCAGCTCGCTACCCTAGCTCAGTAATATCAACTCACTAAGCTCAGTAATATCAGCCCACTACCCTAACTCAGTAATATCAGCTCACTAAGCTCAGTAATATCAGCCCACTACCCTAGCTCAGTAATATCAGCTCACTACCTTAGCTAAGTAATATCAGCTCACTACCCTAGCTCAGTAATATCAGCTCACTACCCTAGCTCAGTAATATCAGCTAACTAATCTCAGTAATATCAGCTCACTACCCTAGCTCAGTAATATCAGCTCACTACCCTAGTTCAGTAATATCAGCTAACTAATCTCAGTAATATCAGCTCACTACCCTAGATAAGTGATATCAGCTCACTACCCTAGCTCAATAATATCAGCTAACTAATCTCATAAATATCAGCTCACTACCCTAGCTCAGTAATATCGGCTAACTACCCTAGCTTAGTAATATCAGCTCAAAACCCTAGCTAAGTAATATCAGCTCACTACCCTAGCTCAGTAATATCATCTAACTAAGCTCAGTAATATCAGCTCACTACCCTAGCTAAGTAATATCAGTTAACTACCCTAGCTCAGTAATATCAGCTCAGTACCCTGGCTCAGTAATATCAGCTCACTATCTTAGTTCGCTCACTACCTTAGCTCAGTAATATCAGCTCTCTAAGCGCAGTAATATCAGCTCACTACCCTAGGTCAGTAATATCAGCTAACTCAGCTCAGTAATATCAGCTCACTACCCTTAGCTCAGTAATATCGGCTAACTACCCTAGCTAAGTAATATCAGCTAACTACCCTAGCTCGCTCACTACCTTAGCTCAGTAATATCAGCTCTCTAAGCGCAGTAATATCGGCTAACTACCCTAGCTAAGTAATTAGCTAACTACCCTAGCTCGCTCACTACCTTAGCTAAGTAATATTAGCTCACTACCCTAGCGCAGTAATATCAGCTCACTACCCTAGGTCAGTAATATCAGCTAACTAAGTTCAGTAATATCAGCTCACTACCCTAGCTAAGTAATATCAGCTAACTACCCTAGCTCGCTCACTACCTTAGCTCAGTAATATCAGCTCTCTAAGCGCAGTAATATCGGCTAACTACCCTAGCTAAGTAATATCAGCTAACTAAGCTCAGTAATATCAGCTCACTACCCTAGCTCAGTAATATCGGCTAACTACCCTAGCTCAGTAATATCAGCTCACTACCCTAGCTAAGTAATATCAGCTAACTAATCTCAGTAATATCAGCTCACTACCCTAGCTCAGTAATATCAGCTAACTAATCTCAGAAATATCAGCTCACTACTCTAGCTAAGTAATATCAGCTCTCTAAGCGCAGTAATATTAGCTCACTACCCTAGCTCAGTAATACCAGCTAACTAAGCTCAGTAATATCAGCTCACTACCCTAGCTCAGTAATATTAGCTCTCTAAGCTCAGTAATATCAGCTCACTACCCTAGGTCAGTAATATCAGCTCTCTAAGCTCAGTAATATCAGCTAACTACCCTAGCTCAGTAATACCAGCTTAATAAACGGTGTAACAAATAAAGTTTAAACTCATCCAACCCAAGATATCTTGTCATTCTTCTATATTATTCAATTACCATTGATGAAAAAAACTTTTCACTTTTGTATTTCTTTCCAACTTTCTTTTCTACATTGAGCCAAGACAGTGCTATTTTAACAATTTCAAATTTATAGAAAATATAAGACTAGAAATATTTTTGAAATATTTATTGAGACTTGNGAGACTTGTTGTACTACAACACAGGTTTAGTTTAGTTTGATCTTTATTGAGACTTGTTGTATTACAACACAGGTTTAGTTCAGTTTGGTTCTAAGGTTATTTATCAGGGTGCTCCTATGTTGTCCAGTGTATAATATGAACACAGATATATTCGTATAATTTGTTTATAGTATCTTCAATGATATTGACTTATCTGATAACCCTCACTACCCCTAGGCCTGTACTGGGTCCTCAGGCCTTTCAAGGCATATATTAGAGTCATACTCTAAACTAGTACACACTGTTCAGTATACAATATACAGTTTAGTCTTTTATTAATATACCATGACAGTCAAATCCTCAAAAATAAAAGAACTGATTACTCAACTCAAACTCAAATTTTCTATTCTCCATATCTTTACAATTCCTGATGTCATAGACCTTTGATATTTCAAATTATGTATTCTGCTAGATCAGAGAGACAACGTTTAAAATATCAAAGGTTTACAGCATCAGGTTGGAAAGAAAGGGATAGAAAATAAAGAGTTTGAGACAATAAATCAGTTACTTCATACACATATACCCTGAATAATTATAGAAATTTCACGTTTTTCCAAATATTCTGCCTCATTACTATATAAAAATTATACATTATTTGCTGATCAATAGTTTATTTTATTTTTTGATTTATTCTACAAGATATTTTTAAAAGTTTTAACTGTTTCAGAAGAATTGCTGAGTGAAGATGACGACTGTTATAATGATTAGTAGTGATAATTCCATCATTATCAATAACAGCCATAACAGCACACTAGAGGAACACAGGTATTTTTACATTTTTAATTTTTATCCTTAGAACTGAAGAGGGTCAACCCAGCTAGACTGAATTATATTTTATGCTTTGATCTTGTATCAACGCCAAAGGAATTCTTTGGAACAAAATCAAATATTTAAACCTCAATATCTTTAGAACCCGATGTTGTAAACCTTTGATATTTCAAACTCCATATCCATAGTTCGAAATATCTAAGGTCTGCAACATTTGGTTTCAAGGATAAGTTATTAGAAAATTAGAAATTGTGGCAAAGACTAAATTACTTTTAATAAAATATTTACTATTTTGTTACTTTTACCAAAAATTTATTTGTTTTTCCAAATTCATCGATAAAAACCTTTAAAAAACGATCTAAAAATCTGGGGGGTAAATCATTTTTAACTAGGGGGCGGGGGGTTGGGTGGGATTAATTTCTGCAAAATTGTGATTTAATTGAAAAAGAGGAATTAAAACCCCCCTGTTCCACTTTGCTCAATCTTATCAATTTATGTATTGCAAGATTACATTTGATAAACTAACCGACATAAAAACAACCAAAAATACAGAACACAGGGTGTACAAATTCAAAACCGGAATTTTGTTTATTTCAGGGTGCGTTAGATTTAGGTCTTTAAAATCGGTTTCTTAATTTTTTGTACACCTTACATTCTTAAGTTGTTAAGACCAGGTGGAGAACTGGTCTACAAGAAACCAGGTGGGACAAAAACAGGACAAATAATTGGCGGTATTTTGAAAATTTATATTTTCAAGGACTTCAAGGACCTGATCGGTCAAACATTTGGGGTCCATGGTCAAACTTTAAGGATCCCTCTTCGCAAGCTTCAACTTTTAAATTGAATGTACGCGAAAAAGGGGGTATGGGCTGAATATACACTATCTAGGAACTATGAATGGGAACCAGGACGGATAAGGAGAGATGAGAGTAAAACTTCTCCTGGCATATCCTCCCAATCCTCCCAAGGTGAGTTTTTATCTCAACCCGATATCAGGGTATAAGAAGCGAAGAGATAACTAGATGAATAATTAACTAAACCTAGGTACAGGACTAGACCATTAGGAAGATGAGTATGATAAATGAGAGGATGCAGGATGAGAGGATGTTGAAGAGAAAGTTGATCAAAGCCTGGATAAAATGATGAACATGTGTCAGATCAACATATTCTTAGAATACGAGAATAGACAATCATAAACCTATGCATTTAATTTAATACTCAGATCCTGCATACAAAACCATTCTCTGGTTTATAAATCTGGGAGATTTTTACTCAAAATAAAGAATTTAATGGGATTGTTCCTGGGTGTATTTTGATTGTCATTTCTTTAGAAGAATTCGAAGAAATTTTAAATTTGCCATTACCTCACTTTTGCGTATTCTCAAAGGAAAAATAATAAGACATGAAACATATGACTTGCATGTAAAACTATATAATGGGGTAAAATTGTTGTTAAAAAGGAATGGGGGGGGGGGTCTAAGAAAGGGAATTACTTTGAAAAAAATGTGGGGGGGATTATAATTTAGAAAACGTACATCCTTGAATGACAGGAGATAAAAATCTAACGGTCTCCAAGTCTGATCATATTCTTAACCCAGACGTTTAATCTAATCATCTTTTTAAATTAAACCTTGTTAGTTATGTTTAGAGGATTTTCAAGGATTTGAGAACTTGTTATCCGATTAATTCCTTATATGGTTCGAAGAGAAGAGATAAAGATAGAACTCAACCTGTATCCGGATATAGATGATACATTGACAATGGATATCTTACTCTCTACACCTTTTTAAATACGATGATGAAGATTTAATGCTTTAAACATGGATTTTAAAACCTTTTACTGAGGCAAATAAAGGCAATTCATTTCTTATTGTGTTTAATCTTTAACTTCTTTACTCTTAGTATTCTTACAAGATTACAATGTCTAGATTTTTGATCTTGCAACAATATAATTCCTACTGAACAACTTGTGTTCTGAGATAGATTGAAAGATAGAGACACAAAAAGATAGTTTACTCTACGACTCACTCTACTGAGGAGTTTAATGAACAAACTTGAATCAAAAAGCAGAAACCCCCTAAAAATGGTTTATATTATACCCAGATACATTAGTTAAAGGGACTGTAAGCATAATTTCAAGGGACCCTACATGCAAAGATGGTAATGCCCGATTCACAACGGTACTCTTAAAAGCTTAGTTTAATCAAGCATAATAATCATAATTAGATATCTGAAAACCAATTATTTTCAATTGTGGTGTCTCTAAAAAAGTGACATGCGCACATTTACTGCAGGAAAACATTAAGGAATTATCAAAATTTAACACTTTTAAACTAAGAAAAACGACAGTATCTTCCACTTTATTGATCAGAAAACGGTTTCAAGTGTACTGTTGTGAATCAGGCATTGCCATCTTTACATGGAGGGTCACTTAAAATTAATCTTACAGTCCCTTTAAGACTGCAAGAAACTATAATTGATGTTTTGTTTTAGCTTCAGAGAACTTTGAATCTGGGACTCCAGACTCATCCTTCCTCACCCCACTTAATCCCAGCAGGACTCGGAGAATCGAGAGAACCAGAGAGATTTTAAGAACCAAAGATAATTCGAATCACCGAGTAAGAACGGATGTAAGAAGGAGACATGCTAACTCCTGGTTCGAGGGGGGTTCACGCGAGAATATCCGGGTAGGGAATGAAGTACGTAGGACATGTAGGGAGAGCATTTACGGAGAACCTGGATTTAGAAGGATAGAGCTGAGAGGAGAAGAGAGACTGATCAAGCAACCAACAGATTCAGATATTGAAGAGTTCAATATCTCCAGGAATGAGTCACAATTATTATTTGTATTGCACCAAAACCTTGAAACTTTTTGTTTGGGGAGGGGGGGGGGAGGAAGTTGTATAAGGATGTGATATTGTTAAAACCAGGATTTCTAGTTAACCCAGGAACCTACGGATGTATGATTGTGACTCATTAATTAGTTCTAGCGCCGCTTCAACACTTAGTTCAAGAACATCTGGAGTATCATCCGGGGCAACCTCTTCTACCAGCCGGGACATGGGAACCTCAACCGGGGTAAACTCTAGTGGGAGCAGGGATCCGGCCAAGGAATCCCAATACCGGAGAAAATTTACAACATTGAACAAACCCTCCCGTCCTACTCCTCCAAAGGTTTCAAGGACCCAGAGCTTTCAGTGCCTCCCAACACAGAGATTAATTCCAAGTGAGAATTCAGCTTTTAAGGTTCCCGCTCTCCCCAGGTTTCTACAGAAGGAATCTCATCCAAACAAGTTTCTCACCTCGACCCCCATTAGGGATTCATCAATGGGCAACCGATCATTAGTGAAACAAAAGCAAAATATAAGAGTTCTCCGACACAATAGCTTCCTAGCGAACCCTGATCATCAGGTCCCCTACCCACCTCTTTACACTAGAAACCCAACCCAGAGCTTACGCGGACTGGTTCCAGTGAAACAGGATCCAGCCAGGACCAGATATCTTCAAACTTGTCTTTCTCCGGAGAACGGTCCCAGCGGCAATAAATACTACTTCAACCCTTCAGGTTCATTATGCCATGCTGAGATATTTCCTCCATGTTACACCCCCTGGGTTCTACTAAATCAGCCTCAATATAAAGTAAATGAACCCCAGAAAGTTTTGAATATTTGGGGTTTAAGAAAAATGTCCAAAACTTAAAAATTGGTATTTGGTGAATACTGCCATAAACAGAGTTTTAAATGATTTAAAGGGGGAGGAAGGAAATGAGAGGGGGGTGAAGGACCAGGTGATAGGTTCGGAGATATATTAAGTTTCATGATCATTTAAATTCCTCAGTAAATTAGTATTTAAACATAGGTTAGGTGGCTCCTAGAATAGATTAACTTGAATATAACGAGAAAAGGTTGGGTTTGATTCAGATAAATTTATGTTTTCTCTTGCTGATTCAGATTTATTAATGTGTTGGATTCAGATAAACTTGTTTTTCTCTTGCTGATTCACACTTATTAATGTGTTGGATTCAGATAAACTTGTTTTTCTCTTGCTGATTCAGACTTGTTAATGTGTTGGATTCAGATAAACCTGTTTTTCCCTTGCTGATTCAGACTTGTTAATGTGTTGGATTCAGATAAACCTGTTTTTCTCTTGCTGATTCAGACTTGTTAATGTGTTGGATTCAGATAAACCGGTTTTTCACTGGCTAACTCAGACTTATTAATGGGTTGGATTCAGATACACTTATTCTCACTCTTGTTGGGGTTTGGACTAGTTGATGGGTTGGATTCAGATAAACTTATTCCTACTTTAACTGATTCAGACTTCTTTAATGGGCTTGAATTCAGATTGAAATGTTGGATTCAGAAAAACTTGTTTTTGCTTTAACTGATTCAAATTATTACTGGGTTGGATTCAGACCTATTGACGGGTTGTATTGTAAACCCTAAGTTATTTGACTGTTCTATATTATCCCTGGAGAGCGTATAATCCTGAGCTCTACCGTCCTAACCTGTAGTGTAGGAGCGGAGCTAATCCAACCCAATCTTATCAATCTTGTCATTCTCAATTATACTCCTAATCCAATTCAATCTGTGCTACATCAGATTAAATTCTAAGATATTTTTTGTGAATATTGTAAAGTCCTAGAACTTGCTTAAGAACAAAATGTAGGAAAAATCATTAAGTGTCTAGGTTTCGAACCTAAATCTAGGATACAATGATTAAACTTGAACTCTGGAGGATGTAACCCAACCATTAGAAATACCAGGTTAATCGTTTAAAATCAAACAAGGCTCGGAGATATTTAAATCCCACATCAATATTCTCTCACTTTATGAATTTCCAATTTGTCCAGATAATATTAAACGTCCTGGGTTTTATGGGAACCTTATATACGCCTAGTTTATGTGGGCTGGTTTATCATGTAATAGGCATTCTGTATTCTTGCAGGAGGACTAGATATCAAGCCACAAAATTACCATAAGACAAGGTCTATTGTTAAATGCAGCCAAGAGACTGAATCAAATTATAATACTCGTTCTCTGGGAAGAAATGGTTGGATATCAGGACGTGAGAGCAGCAAGCTTGGATCAGAAACCACCAGCAACTTCTGTACACTTAGGAAACATACCCAGATACTTGGACATTAAACCTATATAGTATTCTAAACCTAGACCCTAGTTCATTACACCTTGTAGAGTAGTAGATTTAAACCTCAACAATAGTACATTAGTCCTGTATAGTAGTAGATCTAAACCTTAATCCCAGTACATAAGTCCGTGTATAATAGTAGATCTAAACCTTAACAATAGTACATTAGTCCTGTCTAAACCTTAACAATAGTACATTAGTCCTGTATAGTAGTAGATATAAACCTTAATCCCAGTACATAAGTCCTGTAGAGGAGTAGATCTAAACCTTAATCCTAGTACATAAACTTATAAAGTATTAGGCCTAAACCTTAAACCTAGTACCTTTGTCCTGTAAAGTATTAGATCCAAACCTTAATCCTAGTACATTGAACCTGCCGTAAACTCTAATTTTATAACACCCCATATCTTTGCGACCTTATAATGTAAACCTTTGATGTTAGGCTGATTTTTGAAATAAGAAACAAAGCTCAAACTCTCTCCTGGTCCTAATCCTAACATATACCTGGAGCCAACTATTAAGAATATAATTCCGTCGTCTAAATAATGAACCGACTCAAACCAATGTTTATCCATATTTATTCAATATAAATCTAGAATTTTACATTAAGAAGTCTGACAAGGTATTGTGTCATGAATAAATTCTGAATATATTCAAATATAAGAATCCTGAAAGGACTGATGAAAGGGGAGCTTGGCGTTTATCCAAAATCTATGAATTTTCCTTCTTTGATTGCTGATTACTCCTTAGTTCTGAGATACAGGGTGTCCCACGAAATATGACAGTTTTGAGACTAATTGAAAATCGTGTTTGATCTTTAAAATAATTTGCTGCATGCATTTGTCATACTAACTTTACAAGCAAAGGAATGAAGTCTTTTCCACAAAATTAAATGTTTGATATTTCAAACTTACAATATTTGATCTAACAGAATTCTTAGTTTGAAATATCTAAGGTCTATGACATTGGGTTTAAATAACAGAGTTTGTGGCAAAAACTCAATTCCTTTATTGAAACAATGATCACAAAATATCCATAATTCTGGAATTTCCAAAATATGGTCTTCATATCATTATCATCATGGTCATCACAATCATCATAATCGTCATTATCATCGTAATCAACATGATCAGCATAATCATCATTATCATCAAGATTATCATGATCATCATGATCATAATTATCATCATGATCATAATGATCATCTTGATCATCATGATCATCATTATCATAAAGATGATCATGATCAAGAATCATAAAGATGATCATGATCATGATCATTATAAATTCCTTTATAGAAACACTGATCACAAAATATCAATAATCCAGAATCATCATCATCATCATCATCATCATCATCATCATCATCATCATCATCATCAAGATGATCATGATCAAGAATCATCATGATTATCATGATCAAGAATCATCATGATTATCATGATCAAGAATCATCATGATTATCATGATCAAGAATCATCATGATGATCATGATTATCATGATCATGAATCATACATTCAAAAGTAGGTTGGTGAATGAATTATCAACTTCTATTAAATGTCCTGTTTAGTGGGACTGTATTGCAGGGTAGGGCGGGGGATTAAAATATAAATTAAGTTTTGAGAAAAACCTTACACGGTCACACGATCCAATCTATCTTTCTTTTATTGTAATTCATTGTGAAACCTACTCAAATAATGAATTCGTTGATTAAGGATGGATTTAACAATATTTCTTTCTTACTCCGTATACATACATACATACACAGCAGGAGAGGGAGCTAGGATACAAGGTTTAACTCAAGAACATGGAATATATTCAGAGAAGTCTATATATGGAGAGAGATCATATAAGATCTTAGTTAAGGTTCACTACATTAATAGGTTGAATCCTTACTTATATTCTTTATATCAATAATAATATCTTCTTGCAGGAAGTCCCATTTTTAATGAAAAATTAGTAAAGATGATAAAAAGTAATATTTTTGGGTCATTTTTGTATCATTCTTAATACAAGAAAAATACATATCTTGTATAACACTGAATATCTATAAGGATGTTAAGATTACAAATTTATATCAGGATCTGAGTATGTAATTTTAACAGAAGACGTCAATCCCGTTCCTCTCTTTCTCCGACGGACAAGTCCTCTTCCGATCTCTCCGACATGTCGGAGCTATCTAGGTCCCTTCAGTCCAACGAGTCCAGTAAGTCCAACACCAACTCCATGCAGTCCCTGTCAGATCCGTGTCCGGAGAGCAGGGTTGACCTGAGTCCTATGAATGATAATTACTCCAAGATTTATTCACAACCCGGAGAATCTTCGTTTACTAGTTCCAACTATGAGAGTGTTTATAATACAGTCAACAATAGGCTTCAACCCATAGGTGAGCAATTATACCTGAAATCATGCAATCAGTTTATGCATACGTAATATTACACTGTTCAGGGTATAACAGGGGCACCCATATAACTGTAGAATAGGAAGACGACATTTACACAATCCTATGCATAGTATTTTATGTTGTTATTAAGAGGAAATAGTTTTACGAGAACCTTGAAAATAAATTTATTTTGTTAAATTGGTCTACACTGCACTCTGCTGTTTTTCATGTTTTTTCGGACATATCTAAAGTCGTCTTCATTTTCCGCAGATTTATGGGTCGTACCGGGGGGTAGAAATACTTTTTTCATGTGCATACTTTATCATTTTTAAATGTTGCCAAGACACGACCTAGTTCGAGGATCATTTATATTTCTTGATTTATTTTTAGGTTCCGTTTTCCCGAGCGGATGTCATCGACACCCTGAGCGATTTCCAAGAGCTGGGAACCTTGATTCTATCTGCTCCGACCTGGCCAGCTTAAAGACCGGAGAATCTGAAACCCAGAGCTCACGTTCCTCTTTGAGCGGAGAGTGTTCCGAGTGCAGAACGATTTGTCATTGTCGTCTGAGCTCCTCAACCCGAACCTTATCCAATGATTCCGGTTTAATGAAGGAGCGGAGTGAAACCTCTGATATAGTGAGCGAAGACTCTGACTCCGTGTACAGAACTAAGAGCTGTGACAGGATCGGCTCAAGGTCCGGGTTCAAGCAGAAGTTTATCTCGGAGAAACCGAATAAACGAAAACCCGTGATGTCTCATCTCTCCAACCTGTCCTTGCTCTCCGGAGGAGCAAAGCTGGCAGGACTGGTTGGATCTGGGACGAAAATTCTACGGAGACACACAACCTACATCAGGAACCCTGGAGCAGGAGCAGAGGAGGTTAGAGTCAACTCTGGTCATATCCATACTTGGAATAGACAGGTAAATATTATTTCTAGAGGTCCAAACTTTTGTAATTTGAATCTGTTTATAACACGCATAACACGGTTTAATTAATTTTTGTCGTCAAAAATAGCGATATTTTTCTTTAGATATCTGTTGGTGGATTTCCTGTGTATCAAATAAATTAAACTTTAATTATTCTGTTTAAACGAGGCTTTTAGGGCGCTTCGCGCACATCTTCTATTTTAACTTTTAATTTATCTATGAGCATCTGCTCTTTGTACCGTACAAAGCAATAAAAAAGTTCGCGGGTTTTATAATATGTCTTCGAGCATGTTTAGTGTTTTTTGAACTGAATACCGATTAGTTTTTACATAATCAAAAGAAGTGTTCACTTAATTATCAAGTAGTTTTCATTTGCTTTGCAATTACCGACTTTAAATCATCCTACTTAACTAGCGTTTAAACAACTCCATAGTGTGACATTTTGAGAAAGAATTTCTTTTGGTTAAAAAAGTTCCTATTTTCGTCCAAGATGTCTAAAACGTCTTATGTTTTTTAACTCTCTCTGTGTACAAGTGAAATATAATCTGATTAGTGGCGTAGAACTTCACAAAGGTATAATTAAGATAAGAAGAAGAAAAGAGACCAGGATGAAGGATGAAGAGTGTGGGAGAGAGAAATCTGGATTATCTCGCGCCACCATCCGGCGTCTAATTAATAACTCCTGGAAAAATAAGAAATATTTGGGGGTGGAACCTAGAAACTATTTCCTAATTGATAACGTTCAAGGAACTCCTCGCATAGATTTCATATTTGTGAAGGCCTGGTCGGTTTCTCTCTCGACCATGAGTTTTAAATCCTGTTTTAAAATCCTGAATTTTGTGTTAATTCTGACAATATTTGTCAAAATAGTAAAGTTAACACACATCATGTAAAATCAACAGGAGGACATGGGTTGGGTCGGTCAGGGTTGGGTATTTCAAGGAATTTGTTGGAATTTTCAAATATTTTTAGTAGATAGGAGATCAACGTACTTCTAAGCCAAGGAAAGGGGGACTGGGGAAGGGGAAGGGAGGGGTGTGGAATTAAATTTAAAAGTTCTAATTCTCAACCCGTTGAAAAATTCTTTCCCAGGATCAAATGAGGAAAACATATGCAATTGTTTGGAGAGCTGGAGAGAAAAGAATAATTTTAGGTTTAGGTTTGTGTGTGTAGTAAACTCAGGACCGGAGAAATCCGTATTCTCCAAACCTAGGATCTTTGCATGCAGTTCAATACTGGTGTAATACACCCCAAACCGACACGGTGCATCTTGGTTCTGAGGAACGGTTTGATGCAATTTCTCCTTATCAGGGTTCGATTATCCTAGAGAGCGGAGAGAGATGAGCAATCTCGTCTTTTGTATCAATTCTTGAAAATAATCATTTTCTCATTTATGGTGCATGACTTGCTCCGACCCCGGGTCTCAAAGTTTTGTATTTTCTCATCACCTAATTGTCGCTTTTTCTCAATTTATGACAAGACATATTTTGCAGTAGGACGGTTAGGTAAAGAGAAGCAGGAGAACTGGGACTATGACAATCAACTTATTTTTCTTTGTTCTCCTAAAAATTGGGTTCCACTGCTTCTTCCTTTTAAAGATATTCCGAACCTATTTCGACCTCCATATTGGTTAACCCCCCCCCCCCCACAAACACACAACCACCACAAAATTCCACAGCATGAACCCTATAATTTAGTTAACCTACACCCTGGGTTTAATCTCTATCCCAACCTGTATCTAATTCCAACCCTTGAGCTTGGGACCATATGCACCCAAACAATGGGAAACCAACCCTTTGTGTGTGTGTGCGTACGGAGTAGAGCAGGATAGTTTATATTGCTTATATTGTTGAATATTATCAGGGTTAGATCTACACTATTCAACTTCTCCAGGTTCTAGATGAGTGCCTGAGATACGGAGCCTAGGCCTGGGAACCCGTTCTTTAGAAGATTGTTTTCTCAATAGAACTAAACACTTGCATCAGACTCTTTTTTCTCATATCTTTGCAACCTGATGTTATAAGCTTATAATAGTTCAAACTTGTTGATCCAGCAAAATTAAAAGCTTAAAATACAGGGTGTCCCACGAAACATGACAATAGGAAGACGACTTGAAAGTCGTCTTTGATATATGAATTTATGTGTGACATTTAGTCTTCTATCTACTTTAACATGTATGATTCTTGAAACAATTATCACATAATTCTCCTAGCCCTGGCATTTCCAAAAAGTGGTCTGCGTTTTTTGTGCTTTCAATATTACCGGAGATATAAAGAGTTTGGTTCAGATTTCGATTTTGTTAAATAAAAGCAAAATTGTCGAAATCTGAACGAAATTCTTCATATCTCGGGCAATATTGAAAGCACAAAAAAGGCAGACCACATTTTGGAAATGGCAGGACTAGGGGAATTTTGTGATTATTATCTCTAGAAATTTACTTCTAAAATTAGGTTGACAAATAAACACAGCAAATTATATAAAAAATCAAGACGACATTTAAGTCCTCTTGCATACTGTCATGTTTCATGGGACACCCTGTATAAAAACTATGGCTTCAGTTTTACTTTATAAATAGTAGATGTTCTCTTGAATTAATTGAAATATAGTTGGTATTAAAAATCTCCCTTTTTAACACCCCAGTGAAATGTTGAAACTTCTAGATTCAGAAATATACAGACAACTATAAAATTTATGCATCAATTTTTAAGACTGGGGCGACTTTGAAATATCAATGCATCGTGATTGTTTCTAGTTTCAGTTTTAAAGAAGTAATCGTGAAAATCTTGATAGAAAGTTGGACGAGAGCTTGGATATTTTGGCTCACCGTGCAGGGATGAAAATTAATTCGTAGTCTGTCCCTTTAAATCTTTGATATTTAGGATGTAGGCACCGGAGAGCTGAAAACCTCTTCATTGCGGAGAAATCTGATCCGGCGGGCAAACTCAACCTACAGACTCTCACACCTCTTTAGAAAGGTAATTCAATGTTTTACGCAATTTATTTCTTGTTAAAGGGACTGTGAGCGTAATTTCAAGTGACTCTCCATGCAAAGTAGGCAATGCCCGATTCACATCGGTACCTTTAAATACTTTGTTTCATTAAGTTTGGATTATATATTAATTAAACCAATTATTTACAATTGTGGTTTCTACACCAGGAAAACATAAAGAACTTATCAGAATTCTACACTTTTGAACTTAGAAACATGACAATATCTTTCAAATTATTGATCAGATAAAGGTTTCAAGGGTACCGTTGTGAATCGAGTATTGCCTCGACATGGAAATTACTCTGACAATCCCTTTCAATACATTGTTTTTATAGGTGATTAAAGGGGTAATACACAAGGATTAAATAAAGAGAATTAAAAAGAAAAAACCATGATCCTTTAATAGTCGTTCACTGCAGTTATTCTACTATATATTGAAGAGTACTAAACCATCTTAGTTGGTGAACATAAATGTAAAGCGGGAACACATCCTTCATATCCCAGTCATTAATTCTCGAGGTTTTAAACTGATTTGATCAATAAATATAAACTCTGCGGACAATGGAGACTTATCAGTTAGATTTTATCTAGCTAGAGTTTCCAATCTTCTGTGAATAAAATGTCCTACGTTTGCTATTTAAAAACAAATTTTCTGGATTAAATTAAAAACTTTCCGTAATTTAAAAACCAGCTCTAATACAATCCTTGCACTAATCCCCGTATTGTCCTGGTTGAAGGAGAAATTAATCAAATAGAAATCTATAGCAATAAACCCGAGAACATTGGATCACACTATACACCCCCCACCAGTCCGTGGGAGCACATTTCAATCTGACATATCTCGCACAGATGGTTCAACTCGTGTGTGTGCTCAGATGAATTTGTTTTTTTCGTATCCTAGATTTCAGTTTTCCTAAACCTAGAATTTCAGTCTATATTATAGAACCTAGATTTTTGTATCTTTGAACCTAGCATTTAAATTTTATTATCCCCAGGACCTAGATTTCAGTTTCTCTAAATCTAGCATTTTAATTCTGTATCCAATGGAACCTAGATATCTTTAATCCTAGCAGTTTTTATCCCAGATCCTAGATTTCTGTATCTTTAACCCTAGCATTTTAGTTTTTATTCTAGATCCTAGAGTTCTGTATCTTTGAACCTAGCATTTGAATTTAATTATCCCCAGAACCTAGATTTCAGTTTCTCTAAATCTAGCATTTTAATTCTGTATCCAATAGAACCTAGATATCTGTATCTTTAACCCTAGCATTTTAGTTTTTATTCTAGATCCTAGATTTCAGTTTCTCTAAATCTAGCATTTTAATTCTGTATCTAATAGAACCTAGATATCTGTATATTTAAACCTAGCATTTTAGTTGTTTATCCTAGATCCTAGATTTCTGTATCTTTACCCCTAGCAATTTAGTTTTTTTTATCCTAGAACCTATATTTCTTTTATTTCTGTATATTTAAACCTTATATTTAATTTTTGTATTATAGAACTTAAAATTCGTTTTATTTCTACATCCTAGAACCTAGAATTCTTATCCTTAAACCTAATTTTTAAACTCTGTTTATTTCTAGAACCTAGATTAAACCTTAAATCTAGCATTTTAATTTGTATATTTCTGTTACTTCTGTATCTATCCTTAAACCTAGCAGCATTAAATTTGTGTATCCTAGAACCTAGATTTAAGTTTCCTTAAACCATAAAAATGTGTATTATCATGGGTGGATGAGTATTGGGGGAAAATGGGGTGGATGATGTAGTGACAGGATGATAATGATATGAGATCAGGAAGAAAGGGAGGAGTTTCAAAAACTTCATGAGAATTTCTTACGTTATTTCGGGTGGGGGGGGGATGTCTAACATATATTATTTCACATTTCTTACACTTGAGTTCTAAGAAATACGACATCTATAAAAAGGTTGCGTGAACCATGGTACCCTGGGTTGTGGGTAGACCTACTAGGTGATGAACCTTAGACCAGAGTAAATACTACCCAGTTTATGTAACTTAGAACAAACAAAGAATTGGCAGACGCAAGTAAACCACTCATTTCTTATTGCACGCAGATTACAGTTATCTTAAATCCTGTAATATTATAGATCTGGTTTAGATCAAGGGAGTTAAACTTAATCTCGTCGTGTTATTATTCTCTAAATATTCAAATAAAAGATCTAGATATTTGAGAATTCTGAGAAATATCATAGTGTTAATAATACTAAACAGATCTGTGTTCTAAAATTGTATTCAATTCTTCCTTCTTTCTTGTAAAGTTGTTCTCATTCTACTTCTTCATATCCTTCCTTTCTCATTCTACTTCTTCATATCCTTCCTTTCTCATTCTACTTCTTCATATCCTTCCTTTCTCATTCTACTTCTTAATATCCTTCCTTTCTCATTCTACTTCATCATATCCTTCCTTTCCCTTCTACTTTTTCATATCCTTCCTTTCTCATTCTACTTCTTCATATCCTTCCTTTCCCATTCTACTTCTTCAAATCTTTCCTTCTACACATTCTCCTTTTTCCATCTCCTTCTACTTTTTTTAATTCTTCCTTCTCTTCTTACACATTCTTCTTTTCCTTCTTCTCCTACTACTTTATACCCTTCCTTCTCCTTCTACTCCTTTATACCCTTCCTTCTACTACTTTATACCCTTCCTTCTCCTTCTACTCCTTTATACCCTTCCTTCTACTCCTTCATTTACTTCTTCTCCTTCTACTCCTTCATTTACTTCCTTCTCCTTCTACTCCTTCATTTACTTCTTCTCCTTCTAGTCCTTCATTTACTTCTTCTCCTTCTACTCCTTCATTTACTTCTTCTCCTTCTACTCCTTCATTTACTTCTTCTCCTTTTACTCCTTCATTTACTTCTTCTCCTTCTCTTCCTTGATATTTTTATTGCATTTAAGCCAACTAGACCAAAACTTTTATTGGAAATTGATAAGGGGGTTTAGAGAAGGTAGCTGAAATTTAAAAGGTTAAAAGCACCATATCTTTACGCTTGGTGCTTTATCCTAAATACGCGTGACTATAAAAGATGATTAAAAATATATTGTCAAATTAGTTTCCTATTTACAGAGGTTTAGCACCTGCAGGCTTTAATATCTTTACAAGGATAATCATTACTTCTTCTGTCAGTATATTGGACTTTAAAAATCCTTCCTAGGATTGATTTTATTTATAGCATAGAATGAACATAATGCACATTATCAGTTTTTTTATTAGTCTTTTTTTCTTTACAAAAAGGTTCAGTATAGTTTTGTATACATGAAACGAACCAAATGTAGGCATATAATTCGCGGGGTTTACATCTTACAAATTAACATTCAGAACTTTATTTGATTTTCAAAAAATAAAAGATCTGAGATTTAAAAGTCCGGCGTGAAACTGATGTTTATTGTTTTAATGGTTTAATGATTGTATATGTCCAATTATATTAAAAAATTGATAGTCGCTTAGGTCATCGTTTTTTCCCATATGTATTAGAACTTAACATGTATACATTCACAACATACACAATACATATACTTCATACAGGGTGGGGAGAGGTTAAAAATCAATATTATCGGGTTTACTGTATAATATTATATACTCAGTATATATGATATATACAGGGTGTCCCATTAAACATGATGTTTTAAATACGCTCTAGTATAATATAAATAAGAATATGATAAAAAAATGTCTGATTAATGCTTTGAAGGATATTTTTCCTTCTTTTTTGAATTATGAATGCATATTTTATATCATACTTGTTCATGAATAATTAGACACACTGTAGATACACTTGGAGGTTAAAGATCAACTACGCACTACAGGGTGGTAGGGTTAAAGTTCATCTCATATATGTTCCTATTATGCACTGTTAGCATGTAAACTCAGTAATTTCAAGTTCAACCCTCCGCTACAGTTTCTGGAACGGAAAATCTTGTAAAAACTTGGAAACCGCAATCTCCCCCCCTTACTGTAATATATCCTTACTTCATCTCTTGGTCTCCTGGTCCCCCACCCCCTCTGTAATATATCCTTATACTGGAGTTTTAAAACCCCTCATCTCTTGGTCTCCTGATCCTAGATCTTAAAGAATACTCACGAACTACTGGGTTGTACTCATCCTACAAGTGGCAACAGGGTGTCCAAGATATCCAGGATTAGTAGAACTGGGTGTCCAAGTTAGCCAGAATTAGTAGAACAGGGTGTCCCAGGTAACCAGGGTTAATAGAATGTGGTATCCCAGAGGACTGTAATTGTAAAATATCTTAAATGAAATATTAGAATTTCAATTAAAACAGTGCTAGGCTTAATTGAATGATTAAGAATACTGCTCTAGAATATGTCCGCAACCAATATATTTATCTTTGCTGAGATAAGAACAGTCCAACTTAACATTTCCAACTGTCACGGTTTCTTTTTCCCCTTTTCATCCTTCGTACCCCCCCCCCTTCTCCCCCCTCTTTACCCATTTGTTTTACTTTTCTAATCCTTCTTCCTTTTTTCTTCTTAAACCCTAACTTTTTCTTAATAATATCTTCCTACTTTTTTTTGTCGTTCCGTCCCCTTCCTCTTTATATTATATCTATCTTGAAATTCATCTGAATATTCTTCCCCTGTCTTGACTCTTACATACTACTTTCCTTTTCCCATTTATCTCCCTCCCTTTTTTCCCATCCTTCACAACCTTTTGTCCCGTTTTCAATACAAATTGTTAAGATATGATTAGATAAGCCTAAGCATATAAAATGCATTTCTCAACTCCTAGATTAGAGTTTTCTAAGATGTCCTCTGCATGAGCTGAGAATAATCTTGTAATGAAAGAATAAGTGGTTTGTCGGGTATACCCATCCATACAAAATATATGAAGGAAGAGTTATGCTTAAAATATACAGGAGAAAGATTAAAACTCCATAAATAAATATATTTATTGTTCACAAATGTGCAAAATACTGAGAAAAACTGTTTGTTTCGAATACTTCTGGCACAGAACTGAACACAAAATTATAGTTTTAAAATCCCTACATCTTTGCAACCTAATGGTGTAAGCCTTAGTTTTTTCAACAAAAAGAATTTTAACAGAAGCGATAGTTTTAAATATCAAAGGTCTGCGACACCAGGTTGCTAAGATAAATCAGATAGTAGCATGAATTGATTTGATATAAATAATACTACTTAATGATTTATTTCCTCTCCCCCTCCCTAATTTTAAAATTTGCTATATTTCTAAATAACCAAAGTGTATATTTATCACCCGCTTAACCTAAATTAATGCATTATAATGAGAAAAGATTAAATATTTTCAAAGGTTTTATAACCTTGGTTTGAAGAATGGGTATGTCTGTGTCATGCAAGTAGGTTGTATTATGTTGCTTCAGGACGTATGATGGGACTCATGACTCTAACATTACAATTATGTTGCTAATTGACTAAATAATATTTGTTGTAGGACGAGGATGAAGATATTGCCGTCACTGATTCCCAGAGCCTGGATCGTCTCTCCATCCAAACCCAGGAGGAGGAGAACCTTCTCCGTCCAAGAGGAAGAGTAGCGGACTGGGGGAAGGATTTTGACAATCTTCTCTCGGATAAATACGGTCTCTATAAGTTTACCGAGTTTCTGAAACAAGAGTTCAGCCATGAAAATATATATTTCTGGTGTGCTTGTGAGAAGTTTCGTCTGGTTGAGGACGGAAACGAGAGGATGAAGGAAGGAAAGAGTATCCTTGACAGACATCTACGGTTAGGAGCTTGTGATCCTGTAAACCTAGACGCAGCTACAGGATTGAAACTTATCTCGGATGAACTCCTGGAGCCCCCGGAGAGAGATCTTTTCCTTTCAGCCCAGAACCAGATTTATAATCTTATGAAGTTTGACAGCTACCCCAGGTTCCTCAAATCTCGAGTGTATACGGAGTGCGTGATAAGAGAGATGAATGGATCTAGTCTCAACGAGGTTGAATTCTCTGGTATAGATAATGAGCCCCCATCGGGAACAGATACAGGAGTTAGGCTCAGACATCGAAAATACAAGGACAGGGAAAAGAATAATCGTCTCTCTATATTCTGGGATACCTGGGGGCGGAAGGACGGGGACGATGTGTTGTCTGGTGAGAAGAGGGAGTCTGCGTGTACTCTGACACGTGTGATCCTACCCAACGGATCTACGAGCGTGGTAAACACTACATCCGGAGAATCCATCCGAGCTCTAGTATCCAGGCTTATTGAGAAACGAGGCCTGAAAATCTCAACCTTCGAAGTTATCACAACCTTGGGAGAGAAGCAGCTTGATCTCTCCGAGGACTGTGATATCCTCGGCTGCTCTGAGGTCAGGGTAGAGCAGAGGATCTGTTTTAAACTTGAAATCCCAGGGCAAAGAACCCTGGCGGTGAAAACTAAAATTTACAAAAGAATTCATGAAGTTCTCTCCCCCTTACTCAAACAGTACGGATTAGATGTGAGTGATTCGAGTGTATGGAGTGAGGATGGGAAACATATAAATATTGATGATGATGTTGCAACAATAGATAATAAGAAGCTAGTTGTCAGGCCTAGTCGTGATATGTCTGCTCCTGAAAACAAAGATTCCACTAAGGATCCCGAAATGTCGCTGTTTGAAGGGTTGCAAATAATGAGGCGAGGAAGGTTAGAGGATCAACGTGGAACAGAGATAAGTTTTGAGATTCCGGATTTTTTAAAGATTACGAATAGTTCTTCTCATGGAGCTCGGATGAACCACCCAGCACGTTTCAACAAGGACAATCTTCCCCGTAATAATATCTCTAGAGATCTATTCAATGATTCTAGTCCCACACTTGGATTCGTCTAAACATACGAAATAAAGGAATTGTCATCAAAGGATTTGAGTATTTGCCACAAACTTTGATTTTCTAATTCGTATATCTTTGCAACCCTATTTCAAACTCATAATTGATAGATCAAGTAATCTAAGTTTGAAATATCACAGGTTTACAACATCAGGTTGCAAAGATATAGGGATTGGAAAATTTGAGTTTGTGGCAAAGACTCGTTTCCTTTTACCCCCCAGTCCCACCCCACCCCCTCTTCAGTACGACAAACAATATATGTAATATGTATGTATATTTCTATAATGATCGTGTATAACTCTAAACTGTGATAGCGCCTGGTTTTGTGCAATTTAATAATAAAATTTTACACGAAAAATGCATCACTGTTTTTTAAATGTCTTAGATGCAGACTTTGATAAGGTCAGAGTTTCATGATAGGACAAAGAAAAGATATCTGGACACGATAAGACAAAGATAGGTTGAACAGAAATAAAAAGTTTAATTGATAGTTACACAAATCAAATTAGTGGAGAAAAGAACAACGCCGGAAAAAGTGGCGGAGTTTAGTAGGAAAATGGCGGAGTTTAGTAGGAAAATGGCAGAGTTTAGAAAGGAAAAAGGCCGAGAATATACAGGATAATCCTGGAGCTTAGATAGAAAAAAGGCGGAGAATAGTTAGAAAAATGGCGGCTTACAGATAGGATATTAGGGAATTAAGGATAGATAGGATAATGGCGGAGGATAGATAGAATAATGGCGGAGGATAGATAGGATAATGGCGGAGGAAAGATAGAATAATGGCGCAGCTAACAGATGGGATAATTACGGAGGATAGATATGATAATGGCGGAGGAAAGATAGAATAATGGCAGCTCACAGATAGGATAATAGCGGAGGATAGATGCGATAATGGCGGATGACAGATAGGAAAATAGCGTAGGATAGATAGGACAATAGCGGAGGATAGATAGGATGATGGCGGAGGATAGATAGACCAATGGCGGAGGATAGATAAGATATATAGCGGAGGATAGATACGACAATGGCGGAGGATAGATAGAATAATAGCGGAGGATAAAAAGGATAATAGCGGAGGATATATTGGATAATGGCGGAGGATATATAGGATAATAGCGAAGGACAGAAGGATAATTACAAAAGATATATACGACAATGGGGGAGAATAAGGAGGATTGATAGAATAATGATGGAGGAAATATATTATAGTAGCAGAGGATAGATACGATAATAGCGGAGAATAGATAGAAAATAGTGGAGGATAGATAGGATAATGGCGAAGAATAGATATAGGATAATAAAGAGGACAGATAGGATAATGGCGAAAGATAGAAACGACAGAGAATAGGTAGGGTAGTGGCGGAGGATAGACACTACAATGGCGGAGGATTGATGATAAATGGTGGAGTAAATATATGATAATGGCGGAGGATTGATAGAATAATGGCGGAGGTTAGATATGGTGATAGCGGAGGATAGATAGTATAATGACGAAGGGTAGATACGATAATGGGCGTGGATAGATAGAACAATGACGGAGGATCGATAGAAAAAAATTAAGAGGATTCAATGAAGAAGTCTGAGCAAAGATTGGACAATATTGAGGATTTTGAAGGAAAAACTCGACAATTTCTGAGAGACAAACTGTAGAATTTCGGAGGAAAAAAGATGATACATTGTCGGATGACTTAAACGACAATGTCGGAGGAAAGACATTCTGTTGAACTGTTTAGGTTTACTGCATGACGGTGCAGTGTGCAGTGCACAGGTGACAGTTTAAACAATTAATATATTTTAATATTCACATTACATATTGTATATTGGCAGTAAACCAGGAGGGATATTAAACCTCCGCATACAAATATAGGTTGGTAGACATGGTGCAAAGAATGTTTAACACCAAGTTATAACGGAAAGTGAATAAAAATAGCACTAATCAGGATTGAATGGTACAGCGGGACCCAAACAACTGTTAGACTCAACTTATGATTTTAATTAGTTCAATAAAAACATCGCATCGATGTATAATTTGTCTGAATTTTATCGTATTTTTGATTTTGTTAGTTTATTTTCATTCCTGTCTTTTAGTTTAATAAAGTTTATGAGAAGAATTTGCACTGTGCATAGACCAAGGTTGTATAATAAGGTTAGTTCCTCTCGACGTGCTCGAATGTAAGGAAAATGTCGTCTCCTAAGATAGAAAGCTAAATGTCCAATATGACGTCACTCTCTCCTCTATAATCAGTGACGTCATATTGGGTATTTATCTATCTATCTTAGGAGACGAGATTTTCCGTACATTGGAGCGCATCGAGAGTAACTAACCTTATTATACAACCTTGGCAGAGACTGATTTCACTTAAGTTGATTTTGAAACTACTGGTAAATCTCTTTTATAACAACATCGAATAATATTGGTCGAAATGGAATCATGTGTATTACTAACGAAAAAATTAATGATAAATTGATGAATGATTGAATTACAAATCAAGGGTTAAATGTATGGATGAATTAGTAATGAATTAATTGATGATTTAATGAATTAAATAATGAAAAAATTAATTATTATATAATTAATGAATCAATGGATGAATAAATTAATTAATTGATGAATTAATGAATTAGTTAATGAATTATTAAATAAATTTACAAATTAATGAATAAATTGATGAATTAATGAATTAGTTGATGAATTATTAAATTAATTGATGAATTATTAAACTAATTGACAATTTAATGAATTAATTTATGATTTAATGATTTAGCTGATTAAAATATTAAATTTTAATGAATTAATGAGTTAATTGATGAATTAATGAATTAGTTGATGAATTAATGAATTTGTTGTTGAATTATTAAATTATTTGATGAATTAATTAATTAATTGACAAATTAATGAATTAATTGATGAATTAATGAATTAGTTGATGAATTATCAAATTAATTAATGAACTATTACATTAATTGACAAATTAATGAATTAATTTATGAATTAATGAATTAGCTGATGAATTAATAAATCATTTGATGAATTAATGAATTAATTGATGAATTAATGAATTAGCTGATGAATTAATAAATTATTTGATGAATTAATGAATTAATGAATTAATGAATTAATGAATTAATTGATGAATTAATGAATTAATAAACTCGTGAGTTTATTTGGTGGGGAAATAAAATTGATGAAGTGGGGGTGTGGTTACTTCTATTTGTTACGATTCTATTCACCCCCCCTCAGATAATATATCCAGTGTATAATGAATATGAATGGAGGATGAACAAAAGATGAATAATTACGGGCGGAGCCTAGTATTCAATTGTTAAACTGTTGACAGGGTGATTCATTGATTGATTTTATGCTCATAGTGTATTATATTTATATATAATACCTCAAGTGCTGTCCGGGATATTTCAAAATCGTCCAATAACTCGGTGGAAGATGATCTCCTGCGTCTAAGCGTCTATAAACTGAGGAATAAGCCATCTATGCAATTTCTATTCTAACCAGGGGCGTATACAGGAATTTGTCTGTGGAGGGGGGCTTAAAACTTTTTTCGTTCCAGGCTTTCCGGTTTAGGGCTCAGCATCCAGTCCAGTGGGGCCTGAAATCAGTGCAGGGGACTGAGCAACCCATAGCCCCCCCCCCCCCCTCAGATACGTGGCTCTGATCCCAATTATACCATTGTTTTATTATGTTACGGTTTTGCCAGCCATGGTTAACATACATACAAACATGACACAAATACATAAAACGCATACTGTCGAGGAGTGTTTAAAACACGAAACAATTTGTACAAAAATAAAAGGAAAAATAATTTTTGTTTTACATATCAGATATATATTAAACATTTATATATATATTCAAACATCTAAAATCTACATTTAACTAAAAAGTTGATATATAATACATAAATAATATATACTTAAGATTGTATTGATATATAACTGTGAGGCATGTATAGTATACAACGATATGTTTACAAAATATCTATGATTTAGAAAGAATCAAAATTTATCTACGGAGTTACCCACAAAGGGTGAGACATGGCTTTCTGCCTTTAGTATAGTTAATTCATGATGTAAAGAAAGAAGTTAGTTTACAGCTGCTGGGAATTTCACAATCGTCTCTGAAGTCTTATTCTCAGTGCAGGAGACCCTGTAGTTCATTTTCATTGATTTTTATTTTTTTCTTATAAAAGAAACCTGTTTTGTTATTGTTGCCTGATTAGCAACATCATTATAAGAATAAATAGATGCTAATTCTGTTTCTTTCAGCCATGTTTAGGCGTTGCCTTTTTTAAACATACGTTCTTTGTGCGCTTTGGTTTAAATAAAACTATAAAACTGGTGTTGAATATAGAGGATGGAAACTAATTCTAAACTTGAAAGAGAGAATTGCGTCCTTCTTATCCCGTACTGTAACTTTTAAAGAATAAGGACGGAAACTATAAATTCTAAACTAGAAAGAGAGGATTGTTTCCTTGTTATCCCGTACTGTAACTTTTAAAGAATGAGGACACCTTTTGTCAGATAATATTATCTGTAACTTTTATAGAAGGAGGACGCCCTTTGTCAGATAAAATTATCTGTAAAATTTAAAGAATGAGGACACCCTTTTTCAGATAATATTATCTGTAAAATCTAAAGAATGAGGACGCCCTTTGTCAGATAATATTATCTGTAAAATCTAAAGAATGAGGACACCCTTTGTCAGATAATATTATCTGTAAACTTTAATGAATGAGGACGCCCTTTGTCAGATAGTATTATCTGTAAAATTTAAAGAATGAGGACGCCCTTTGTCAGATAAAATTATCTGTAAAATTTAAAGAATGAGGACGCCCTTTGTCAGATAATATTATCTGTAAAATTTAAAATAATGCCTATATAGTCTACTTTCTTACAAGGAGGAAGTAAGGAATGGGCCGCATAGGTGGCATAAACCTTAGATTAGCTGTTCAAAAAGATGTGCGAAAATCTATCAAGGCTTGCAGTACTGTCATCATACCACATTTTTAGAAAACGAAAAACTCTAGACTGGGACCAAGAAACCCCATTTCTGAAAACCACCTCTGAATAG